TCTGGTTTGTCATTTAAATTGTAGTGTTGATGGGAGTGGAATGTTTATCATTTGCTTTAAGAGTGTAGGGCCCTAGACATACCCTTAGGGCATATCTAAATGGAGACCCTGCCCTTCTCTACAGACACAGGCCCACTGTGCCTTATGCTAATTATATTCCTCTGTTTACAAAACACTGGAACTATTTAACTGTTCCGTTGGGTTGTTTAACAAATACTAACTGTTTATTTTTGGAAAAATTTTATGTTTTGGCTCAGATAGCCATGCACATGAGCTGATTTTGGCTGAATCATCAATGGTCCTCCTTTCTATAGTTACCAGCAGTCAGTAGCAGATATCAACAAATATATAATAGGGGGTCCCCATATACCAGGAGGTGAACCAAAGTGGTCAAAGCTCTCAAAGTTTACTAATGCTTCAAAAATCTAATCAGAATAATAACCAAGGGGTATTAAACCCAAATAATGTATAGCAAATAAGAAGATAACCCCCATAGGGATGTACTCCTCGGGAATCAGTCAAACAAACGTTGTAAAAATGTATAACAGTTTATTAAAATAATAAACTGTTATATATTTTTTCAAAGTTTGTTTGACTGATTCCCAAGGAGTACATCCCTATGGGGGTTATCTTCTTATCCCATAGGTATATGTTTGGCTTTCTCACCCCCAACCACCTCTCCAGACACACATTATAGGCATTACTATAATGATTAGGTGACCTGAACATACACATATTCCACAGGTTCTTTACAGAGAATGTAGATGATCAGACCATAACCACACGTCTGACCTGACATCTGACCACAAAATGATGTCTATGGCCAGCTTAAGAAAGAAATAGAATCTCGCTGTTACTGTGAAATTTACAAACTTGTTATGGCTCTTCTATTTCACCCAGGCAACTTTTGGCTTCACTGTACACAAAAGGAGTTTGCTATAATTTAGTGTTGTATTGATAGGTTGATGAACTCAAGGAACATTTAGTTTTTATATGTAAAACCATTAGTATGGAACCCAGGGGCGTAACTAGAAATCACAGGGCCCCATAGCAAAATTTTGTATGGGGCCCTGTGACTTCTAGTTATGCCCCTTGCAGAGCCCAGTTGAGATCCCACGCAGCCCACATGAGGGTGACCCTGCAGAGCCCACCATAGACCCTCGGGTGGCTGGTCACACTCCTTACCTGTCCGCCTCCTCGATCGCTGATGGGCCCCGCCTCCTCCTTCGTTGCCGGGCCCGCCTTCTTCTCCATAAGCGGGCCCCGCCCCCTCCTCTGCTGCTGACCACGGGCCCAGCCTCCTCCTCCACTGCAGGGTCCAGCCTGCCTCACCGCCGCTGCTGCCTCTCATTAACTCCACAGCGGCTGTGAGAAGAACAAGTTGCTGCACCGATCACTGTCAGTGATCTGAACAGCAGCGCATTCTTCTCACAGCCGCCAGTGAAAGCCACCAGCATAAGATGCCATAGCGACCCAGGCAGCCCGCACGGCATCTGGCCGGGCCCCCCTGTGCCCCGGGCCCCATAGCGGCCACCTGGGTCGCTATGGCGATTGTTACGCCACTGATGGAGCCCATGTCTAGCACTACCAATGGATGCCATTTTTTCAGGAGATATTATCAGTACTTAAAGCAGACAGAGGCAAAGGGAATATTTTGCATAGGCTTTCTCTAGTGTTTGAATCCTAAAGGAAGGTTTGCTTTAATACTAACCGCAGCATATACTTACCTAAGTACCCTTCCCTGCTGCTGCCTTCAGCTACTGGTAGCAAAAAAAAAAGGAAGCCCTGTGTTGTGCTAGTAGGCCAATCAGGGGAGTCATACAGTCAGTCCATACCTCAGTATAAGCTCGACTCTTAGTTTACACAAGACTTTATTTTGCGCTCACTAGCTGAACATAGCAGAGGGAGAGAGAAAAGAAGTCAAGCATATGCTTCTAGGAAAGAATAAATTTAATTAATACAGCTACATTGGCCAGGTTAGATGGGAGCTTTCGGGTAAAAAGCAATTCCTAGTGCACATTGTTTAAAGCTCACAGTGTGCAATGACATGAGAGTACCTGGATACTTTTCAGGAGAGGAAGCTGTACAAATGGTGATTATTATAGGTAAGAATGAAGGAGGTAGTTAATTTTCCTTTGTTCACTATCACATGGTGCCAGGGAAGGAGTCCATACCCCTGTGTAAGCTCAAACACGTTGGTTTGGAGCTTACACAGAGGATTACTTCCCCAGTCCTTGCAGATGAATGTTGCAATACGAGGAAAGACAAGTAAATGCTGTTTGGGGAAGGGTCCCTATATGGGAACAGGAAAGGAAAAACTGTTTTTTTCTGTACAAGGCAGGGAAAGGTTAGAATCTTTGCCCATTGGGTAGATGCACCTTCACTTTCTGCTGCATCACTAGGACAAGGAGTAAAGAAATCTTATTGGAGACAGACAACAAAAAGCAGGTATTCAGACCTTTGTCCATTTTTGCTTTTGCTGCTTTTGTCTCCAATTAGATTTCTTAACTTCCTTTTGTGTTACCATAACAGGAAGTGGAGGGGAATCTCATTGACGAGAACAGAGGAATAGACTGACACCGACAATTGAATGTTTCTAAACTTTCCCTACTCTATCCAAAGTTAAAAATTAAACATTTTGGCTGGGCTTATCTTTGAATTCTATTTAAAAAAAAAGCTATGATTAAGAATTGAGTGCACTAAGAAAGATGTAAACATATGATATACCTAAGTAATGTCTCGTTAATACCTGGACATTGCTCAGTATTTCAGTTCTTTATTGTTCAAAATGGTTCAGTGATTGAATACATTTTCAACCATTCTGCAAAAACTAAGGAGCATATTTTGAAGATGCTGACTATCACTCAGGTGGTAACCCTATACCAAGTGCCATAAGAGATGCTGGTCACATAGCGTGTGGATATCAGGCACTTATATAGCAGTCGAATATGAGGAGATTGTTTTACGTCATATTTCTTCATATTTACTTAGTGTATACTGACAAGTCTTTCTGATGCTGACTTACATCTACTTGGTAATTGCTAGATATCAAAGGCATGGGACAATTGATGTGACTGGACAGAGGTTGCACAGCCTATGAGGCCAATGTATAACAGCCTCCCTTAAGGTCTGCGCAATCTTTCATTTTTGATCATTACTGTACATGGTCAAATTTGACAAGTACACAGACCTACGGGCATCAAGATGCTTCTTTGCAGAGCTACACAGTATATGGGCCTATTTACTAGGATAGTTCCAGGAACAAGGTGCATTAACCCAAATCTCGAATCAGCTTGTAGTTTACTGTCACACATTCAGTGTTACAGTTATTAGATGATTCCATACTGCTTGCTCTGGCTTACTGCACTTGGTACACTACCATTGCGCTTTCCAGTACTTTACAGAATTAGCTTGTTAATGTACTATATGAATAGAGCTGGAATAAAGGGCCCCTCTATGTAAATGTTGACAAATTGGTTTATTGGAAACTTTTCCTGGTATGAACATGGAGATTGCCATTAACTTCTCATTCTGTAGAGGGGGTCATGCTAACCCTCTTGCATCACTACTTATGAGTCATTGGGGTTGATTTACTGATGGCAAATAGGTTGTTCATTTTGCAAGGGAATTCCCCTTAGCTGAGTGAATGAGGTAAAGCTCTGCTGACTTCCATCATCGAATTATACGCAAGCAAAAACATATTTTTTTTATCTTGCACATGATTGGGTATTCTTTGCAAAGGACATTTTCACCACTCACCACATTCACTGTGAAGGGAAAATGCACTTGAAAAATGAACAGCCTAAATGAACGGCCTATTTGCCTCTAAAATTAGAGAAAACTGCTTGATTGCCCCATTCATGCTAAACACTGTGGACAGAGGAACCTCTCCTACTGAATACTCTATGCAAGCACCCCAACCCACCCCCTGGCTCCTTTGATTTCACAATCAAAGTTTGTGGAGTCAACTGTGTCTGCTACAGCTCGAATTTTGGTCCATTCACAGGGATTGGCTGAAATTAGTTCCCCATGGTCCCCGTGTGTGTTGTAAAGTAGCCACTGCTCCAAGCTCACTCCCGTGAGGGACTACAATCTCATGTTTAGTTTACTAATTTGTATTGAAGTTATAGTCCATCACGGGAGTGAGCTTGGAGTGGTGGCTACTTTACAACACACACAGGGACCATGGGGAACAAAAGTAGCCACTCTCCAGAAGGAAGGACAGTGTCAGCACCAATGCAGAGATGATTTGAGGATCTACATCCAAGTGATACACACATAAGGTCCAGTATTGTTGATAGTTAAGGTACTAAAAAACTCTCAGTGGTACAAATAACTTGAATAATGTAATAATTAGCAGTATGCAGTACATAAGTTATAGCACTGTCACCCTATGTTTACCTATAACTCTTTCATATCTATACTATATCCCACGCTGCGAAAACTATTCCCTGAGGCAATAACGTCGACGTGTTTTCGATTGAATTCATCCCACAGATCGCGTAGCAGACAAACGATCCCCTTAGCATCTTATTTTGTTGCAAAACGCTTTGCATGCGCAGATGTCAGTAAATCAGGCCTCCTATTAGCGCGGCAAATGACATTGTGCTGGTCTAGATCAGTTCAAAAAATAAATGAGAATCTGCGTGTTCAATTTAAAAGGTTGGGGGGGGTGGACGAAGCACCTCCGCTGATTGCTTTTTCTCCTGCTAAGTATAACGTGTTTCTTCTGCCAAAGAAAACTAAGAATGAACTTTGCTGAGATTGTGGTGCAGAGAGAGGAAGATGATCTGTCTTCAGGATGTCTGTAATAAGATGGGGATAATGAGCAAAAGAGAACTGACTGTCTTAATATTCAGCTGGGCACTGTTCTAGCTGGAGTGTCTTACTGGGGGGGGAGGTTGGTGATGAGATGAGAGGCCACTGAAGGGTCACCAAGAGTTTCCAGCATTAGCAATAGACACACATCCATCCAGAGGAAGAAATAGACCTAGGAGGACAGCCCAAATCTACATGTGTGCTGCAGGATCACAGGGCTGGGGGTGGATCCCTTCCCTGGCGCTGGCTTATTGGTAAGCAGCCTAGTGATCTTTTGATGGATTGACTTAGAGATGGATCGAATTACACCGTTTGCCTTCTCTCAGTTTGTTTTTCTCCTGGCTTGCCCTGCTGCTGCTGCTGCTGCTGGCAGGCTTCTAGTGACTTTACTATCCTATGAAGGAAGCAACAGCAGCAAGAAGAATAGCAGATCGGTTTCCCTTAAGAGGTAAGCGGCTGGGTAGGGAAAGCAAAGCAGATCGAGCAGCAGTGCCAGTCTGCAGCCTGGGCACCACTGATGCCATTGCCAGCCTGGGCACTCGCTGGCAGGGGCAAAGTTTCTGCAAGCCACGATCGTTGTGCATGGAAGTGATTGGGACTAGTTGTAGTGGGAGCTGAGCTGCGTGTGTTGGGGATGGGGAGGAGGGGAGAGGAGGAAGGATAAGGGG